TTAGAGATATAATTTTATATGATCTATTGTCTCTTCATTTAATTTTCAAATTCTTCTAACATATTCCTCTTCTTCTTGGATACGTACTTATTTTTTTCTAATTTTTATATTGTTTGAGCTTTTTTAACTATCCCAAAGATTTATTTTTCTCGCTTTTCCAATCATTTCTTCCATTAAATCGGGTTTATTAATTAATTCGAATGGTAGTATAAATTATTGTTGCTCTAAATATGAAACATTTAATCCTTCGTTTAAATTAACAATATATTTTGTTTTGGGTTCTTCGATGGCTAACTTAGATTCTTAGATAGAATTTATTACATCTCCTATAGCTCTTCTCGTTTCTAGAGGAATAGTTGAGATTCCATTTTTGAATTACTGAATTATGAAACTGTTATTGACTCTTCTTATTTTACTTTATCAAAAGCTTCTGCTTCATTCTTCTTTATTTCTTTGTTTTGTTGCGATAGTCGTTTTAGTATATTAATATATTCTTTATCTCTTTCACTGATCATTTATTTACAGTTAAAATGATCTAACTTATAGCTTAGCTAATAATTAAAGGTATCCATCTTATAGATAAATGAGTGATAAATATTAAAGATTACACAGAACCAGAAAAGTTTGAGAATCTTAATAGAAATCCTTTATTACATATACATCCATTTCGACAATTAATTGTGGAAAAATCTTATTGTGGAAACCTAGTTTGTTGTTAAACGCAATCTATGATCAATTAAGCTATGATAATCTATAGTTGTGTGCAAAAGATATAGGAGAACCTAAATATGTAAAATTACAAGAGCATTTTACAATATTTGATGATATAGATGTCTTACAATTCATCGAAGATCGAAATAAGAAAAAGGAAATAATACAATTATATAAAAATTAAAGAAAGAAACATCATGCTCTAATAACTTAGAAGATATGATAGATGTTGATAGCTTAGGCCCAGTGAATATAACCTTGTTGTGTTTGATGGTTGTATAACTGAAAAGAAACAAAATAGTTGCATTTTATCACAGGAAGAAAGAAAAATACATCATTTTATTTATTACATTCTTATGATTGAACTCCAATTGATACGAGAAGTAACTGTAATTATTTCATCTTTCAAACTTCTGTATAGAGAAATAAAACATATCATTAGAAAAATTGATGGATCTAAGGGTATTAATGAATTTAAACAAATATACAAACAAACTATTAAATAATAATATATTTTTATTACTAGATCTTAAATCTCCTAAAATGAGATATAGAAAGAATTTTAAACAGTTATAAATAAATGGAGGAGTATTTAGAGAAGAAAGTATTTGTATATCAGAGAAGTTATAAATTATATTCTAATATTACTATAGTTATTATAAATTTTAAATTCCCATTCAGCGCTTCCGGCTTTACAGCATTTGCTATTGTTCCTTTAGCAGCATTAAGTTTAGGAGCGGGTATAACTGAAGTAAATGATACATATACAAACATATCTGCTAAGAAAGAAGAATATAAAAGATCTTACAACTTTTACAAAGAGATGCTAAGTTTACTTAAATGTAACATATTACTAAAGAAGAAATTGACTTAAAGAAGAATGATTTCATACAAAGATTAGAATACTTCCAAGAGAAAAGTACATTAAACAAGCGAAGTTAAATGAGTATAAATGAGAGGAGGTGATCTGGTTGGCTGGATGCAAGATAAATGTAATCCCCCTGAAACGCAGTTACCCGAATTTCAATACTGTGAACCCTTTACTAAACATCTAGCTAGAGGTGATCGTGGTGTCAACAGTGTGGATATAACATATAAGAAACATGATATTGCTTATAGTAAAGCAAACGCTACAGCTGATAGACATGTAACTGATCAACAATTGATAGAAAAGATGAATGCTATTGAAAATTCAACTTTACGTCATTCAGTATTGGTATTTCATCTGTTATGATGCAAAACAAAAACTGAAACAAACAATATTCAGATTTAAAAAATGGAAGATATACTATTAAAGGAATATGTAAAGTTTTTGGTGCAAAAAATTCTCAATTAAAAAAAATAATGAAACATATTATGTTCCAGAAAGAGGTTTCAGCGGCATATAAGCATTAAAAATATAACTCAGTCACCTTAAGAGAAATGATAGAAGTTTTACATCAGCAAGATGAATATACAAAACACAAACCAATTAGATATATATTTAAACGAAGATTTTCGTAAAACTAACTGATGATCAATGGCAAGCAGAATTAGTTCCAATCAAAGTTAAAATGGGAAAAGAAATAACAAAAACATTCAAAGTCATTTTTAAAGAGGGGAAGCCGTAAAAAATTCAAACTGATAAAATAAAATAATTCGTTAATGATGAAACTCAAATTATTTAATGTACAAACTATTCCCTGGTTTACAACTAAAAGCGATGTTAAAGCTCAAATTGTTAAAATATTGAATAGAGTTTTGAAAAGTAAAATGTGGAAATGTGGAGAGCTTCCCCCACCCCTCCCCAGTGGCACAGTGGTATGTTTGCGGACTTAAAACGCTAGAAACCGGGTTTGTATACCGGTGGTGGGCAGAGCACAGTATGTTGTGTAGCTTTGTGCTTAACTTCAAAACAAACCAAACCACTGGCGAGCGATGAAGATGAAATGTCTAGCGATACTTCTGAGGCTCTTGTGGAGTTCAAGAATAATAATACCAAGGTGATGATAATTATCCCAATGACGCCAAGATAAAGGCCTTCGTATCTACACTGAAAACAAAGAACAAGAACGCTAACAAATAGCCAAGAACACAACAAACTACGCTTGATCTTAGCCAAGAGGCCGAGAAGGCAAGTCAACAAAAAACACCACAGGTACATCTTCTAAGGTGGACGTCCACCAAAAAGAATAAATTTACTACTGCGTACTATGGGAGTCAAAAACTTGCGATAGCGTCACTAAATCTGCGAATGTTTTCGTAAATATTTGTGTGAAACTTTAGTTAAACCTGAACATGTTAAAAATAGGGTTTTAGCTCAATCCGGAATGATGTAATATATTAAGGTCTGCCATCGGGCCCAAATCCTGGGAACCTGGCTCGTGGAAGCACCGTTAAACATAAACCTGAAAACATTACGGTAAAGCGAGCCGTATATTCGGCCTTACATTGAAAAAGGGAGATATATTGATCATTAGCAAAATTTACTTAGAAAAGTGGTTCTGTCACAATAAAGTTTCTTGAGCTTTCAAGATTTCTTTGACAGTAGAATTTCCCACCGTTTAGACAAAAGAAATGGACGGTGTTACAATATTATAGAAAAATACAGAAATAGGTTACATGTTGCAAGTTGCATGGTAAAATCAAATGTGCGCCTTTTTTGTGGGAAACCTGGTGGGAATTTTGACCCCTTTTTGTTACTTCTGGAGACCGTAGGCGTCACCATGCCAAGTTTGGTGAAGATTGGTTAAATAGTATACGAATTAACGGCCAGACAGATATACAGTTTCGTTTTTAATATATATATATAGAGAGAGATTTCGGGGTTTTCTATTTGTACTGTCTTTATGATTTTAGCCTTGTTACCTTGTTAAGCTCAAGAATCGCTCTAAAAACTGGGCATTTTCAAATTTGAAATATGCTTCAACTAAACCATGTGGGTTATTATAGAGTTGTAGCTGAGGGTTCCGATTGGACAAAACTTGGTGATGTTGCGTCAATGTGTCTCCTAGACAACCAAGCAAACGTAATGTGGAATTTCAGCCAATTATTATGATTTTTATGCACCATCAATACCAAATGTGGAGTGTGCGTATACCCGATTCGATTTTATTATTCATCACGATCTCTACCAACCTACTCTGAAATCTAAACTAACTATTATATGTCCAAAGTTATCGGCATGACAGATGGATTTATAGAATTTTGACTCTCCGTGTTACTTTTGAGGACCGTAGGAGACATCTTGCCAAGTTTAGTGGAGATTGGACAAATAGTATGCGAGGAGTTAACGGACAAACATACAACACATATATATACTTTGATTTAAGTTTCATTTGTTATAGAGATAAATCAAACTCTTTCAACATTTGGATTTTAGAAAAACTTTAAAAAGTTTTTATACCTTACCACATAAAGTGCTTTCCCCATTGATCTAAAAAATACTTCCTAATACCAGAGGTGATTTTGAAAGTTCTTACACAGGTATCATATAACTGCTGTAATACAAAAGTTATATTCATATATACGTTTTAAAAGAATAAACACAGTAATTATATTATTATTGTGAACCAATGCATCCAATCAAATGTACCAATGTATGCTTTCGAGTGCGCCCTTGATTCTATATCTGCCCTAGCCGTCCCTAATTTGGCAGTGTAAGACTAGAGGGAAGGCAGCTAGTCATCACCACCGACCGCCAACTCTTGGGCTACTCTTTTACCAACGAATAGTGGGATTGACCCTCACATTATAACGCTCCCACTGCTGAAAGGGCTAGCATGTTTGGTGGGACAGGGATTCGAACCCGCGACCCTCAGATTACGAGTCGAGCTGGGATGTATCGTAAATGTCTCCGGACTTACTATGTGCTAAACTCCGGGGTTAGATTCCCCGCGGCGGATACAGCAGAAAACCCAATGTGGCTTTGCTATAAAATGAACAAACAAGCATTTTATTTTATATCAAAATTACTTTTTCGTGGTGTATAAATGTTTATTTGTATGTTTTCTTCTGCATACATTTCTTTTGTATTCCAAATTAACCTTTAAGTGACACGAAAAGAATCTAGAACAAAGAAACTTAATAGATCCTATTCGTGAAAAAATCTATGTTTTAATCGTTAGATGAGATTACTATGTATACTGTACCAAAACTTGAAAGAAATGGTTTAAATCATAATATTTATGCATTGACGAAACAATATTGAAACTAGAAACTGTCTTATTAGTATATTTTCACTGTGAGTTATCGTATTACGCAATTACGAATTTACATTTGACGTATTTTTTCTGTTATAATCATTGCAGGTTGTTTCTACTATTTCAATTCGACAATAAATCCTATACTGTACAGTGTAATGTCAAACCGGTTTCGAGTGGCGTTTAGAGAAAAGTTGTGTACTGGCCAACCAAATATTTGGTGTCTTTGCTGTTGCTGCTGGTGTTGCTGGAACCGACTAGAAGACAGAAAAAACAGTTCCCAAGGCTCCGTCCGATCCTCTCTTAATAATCCTTTAAATAATACAAGAATGAATAAAAGAAAATTACCCAATCGTCTTAGAAACGTAGAACTTGAGATTAATGCCGAGCGGCTTCCTACTACGTTATTTTGGATAAGAAATCCTTTGTACGACTCTGTTGATGTTGGTGAGGGTCGTAATATCCAGATGTCACAAAAACTGGTCTTACCCACATTGCATTTTCCTCCAGCAGCTGGAATATCTACAGTGCTTCCAGAACATTATGTAATTTCCAATGATCGCGGAAACGCAACTGCAGAGTCAGCAAATGAAGACATAGAAAAGTTGGAACTGGTAGAGGAATTGGATGAAGCTCTTAGATCTCAGCTTGCAAGGCTTTCAGAAGAAGAAGGTGAGTGTGTTGATTGTGCTAATTGTAATAAACTGTTTACTCCAAAGATGATTAAACCGATAATGTCCATTCCAGTTGATAGATCGATTACATCAGATACAAATGTCGTTGGAGAATCTGACCGAATGCCAACAACACGAGGTGCATTTTGACTCCAAGAGAACAGATGTGTCTTTATCTTGACTCTCTAGTAAATTAGCCAGTAATCCAACATTTGATTCCATAGTTTGACTCCAAAGAAGTGAATTATCCTCAACCAATTTGTCAGAAAGGGAAAAAAACATCACAGTATGAATTTAGGAGGCTAGCTGAGACCACAAGGAAAATATTAGAAGAGAAGTTTAGGAAAATGTTTGAAAAAAGCTATATAATCAAATATGTCATGCCAGAAAATCACAATATTTACAAAATCTGGTTATTTTAAACCTATTTAAATTGTTATACATGTTGTCAGCGTGACGGGGTTCATTGGTGTATGTGAATAAAAAAGTAACAAGGAAAATTTGGAGGTGAAATTCGTTATTTTTATTGTTTGAAGTACCATAAAGTTTTACCATTGTGTAGGGTATACCGAATCATCGAGTAATGTAAAACTAAAAGAATCAGCTCCTCCAACTGAACAAAAATTGCCATAGTGCCATGTTCTCCAGATATGGCACCATCATATTACCATCTTTTTCGTTCGCTGCAACACCATCTTAAAGGGAAAACGTATGCAAATGTGGAAGGTGTTAAAGAGGATATCGACATGTTTTATGCTTCAAAACCAAGTGATTTCTGTAATCAGGGCATTAACAACTTAACTGTAAGATGGAAAGCATCATTGATAAGAATGGAGACTATTTCATTTAATAAATGTTTTGTTTTGATATACAAGTTGTTCGGATTTTTTCATCTAAAAAAACGCCATTAATTTCTTGACGACCTAATATATCACATCACGCTATTATAGCTCCAAAGAGGTTAAAAGTATTATTAATGATAAATTTCCTCAATACGTTTGTGTCCTTTGGGTGGGGGAGAACTTCCCAACGCAACTCCATAATCTTGTGTTGCGTCAAACGTACCGCATGTGGACGTGTATTGTCGTAGAGAAGAATAACACCTTTCCGATTGACGAATGAAGGGCGTTTCTGATGAAGAGCTTGATTTAAACGTT